GCTGAAGGAAAGTATTTCACCATCAAAGAACCATAATTACTTGTATTTGTATACCATGCAACTAAAATTTGGCAATATTATGTTGCGGCCTACATACTTTTCTGCAGCGATCTCTATACTGATTAAATATTATATATTTCCTCAGAACAATTTCATTCTGGCCAATCTTGCCTTATTGAAATGAAATAGCTGGAACAATGAGAAAACGAAACAACGATAGAGTAGAGTTGGGGATTATGGAATACCGTTTTTATTTTTTGATTTATTTCAAAAAAGTATTGAATGAAATATATAAATTTGAAATGGTGATGGTGTGGCCAAAAGATTTATTTCACCAAATTACGATAACAGACTTAGATAAAAATAAAAAACAAATAGGTATTTATATTATACAAGGGAAAAAATGAGTAGTAGATTTTAGCTCCAGGTTGTGTTGTCTCGCGTAGCGGAGGGAGACAAAAAACCGTGAGCTAAAATCTAATATTTTTCCCGTGTATAATACACTATTTTTTTCTGTGACAGAAGAAAGTTCGAATCAATATTGAATAACAATATTGAAATTTGAAAATTATCGTCGTGAAATTTCAAGTTTTTAACACCTGCGTTGTAGGCATCTTTATCATTCTTTTGAAGTAATCAAATATCTGATGTCACTTCTGTCAGTCGAATTCTGTGAATTGATTTCCAAAAAATGCGAATTTAGTGATTATTTAGTAATTCACGTAATGGCGAAGTCGAATGGAAGATAAAAGGAATTGCAGTTCTTTCTCGGAGACGGTATTATTGACTGATTTTTCGAATTTATAGCACAACAAAAGTCATCAACAGTGTATATATATGTGATATATATATCCGGGAAAAATGGCAAAAAGGGCCCATGGGGCCTACTTGCCTGACTACAGCCTCCCCACAATACTACTACTATATCCGGGAAAAAAGTACTCAATTTTTTCCAACGGGAAAAAAGTAATTCATGAAAAGTGACATTTTATAACCTGCCAACAGAGATAAAATGCCAAACTTTTTTCCCGTCACAGAAAAAAAAATATTTTGGATTATTGAAAAATACTTTCTCTTGGTCAAAAAAATGGTCGGGTTCATGTTTACAAAGCTTGCATCCACTATTCATATCCACAAAATAGTGGATGGAAAAATGGATATATCCATTTTTCTGCTGGTAACTGGTATCACTGCGCTTTTTTCATCATCATCATTTCACTTCTTAATTTGTGGAGGTTTGGTTCGCATTGTTTTTCATTTTGTTAATTTTTCGAAGTATTTAATAAGTCGGGTAATATGATGTTAAATAGTGAAAATAATACAAATGATCTAAAATTAGCGTTATCTCTACATTGGACCCTTCATACATCATTCATCTACTAAATTAAACATTGAATATGAAATAAAATCACTTCCAAATGTGTTTGAAATAATTATATATTTAATATTAACTCACCTTAAAATTTCATGACCATCGAAATTGCATCAACTATTAAAACTGTCAGAAACGATAGTTACCTATAGAATGGAGGAACTATGAACTCAATGGAATGATATAATATCAAATTATTGGAATAGATGGCGATTGTAGTTTCGTCAAAAATAGGACATTCCATATATATTACCGGATAATATATTCCATAATCCTCGACTTTATTATAATTGAATCTATAGGCTATACAAGTCCACTTATTTTTATTTCCATCCAAAAAACGTATATACAGGGTGATCAAGTGTCAATCAAATACTCCACAACTAGTTTTTTGAATGGAACACCGCTTTTTTCCATTGAATTCTGAATAAATCTGGTCAGAGGTATCGGTGTATTCTGAAAAATAGTTCTATTGTTTTCATTATCACCCTGTATGTAGATCGTTCATAAGTGCTATAATTTACGAGAGGACCTATTGAAATATTTATGAATTTCTTAAAAAAAAAACTTCATCGTCCTTTATCTCGATAACCGTTCAAATAACATATGTTCTAAATATTCTTAAGAAGAGATAACAGTATTTCGTAGTTTTATCGATTCCTGGAGAGTATATATCAGTCGTTAAATCTTAATCTCCCTGTATAGCAATGGATGGTTATTCATGTTGACGTGGGTGTCTGATGATCTGATCATATAATCACAACGAAACCTGCTAAAAATATGCTTTCCTTTCTTTGCCGTTCCATTTCGCATCTGTCGTGATAGCACTAATTTTTCACTTTCACTAACCTTCAAAATTTCAAATGATCGTATAATTCTTTTACCTCTTACCTGGGATCACAAATTATTATATCTGATGGGTTTACACAATTTGAAAGGAAAAGGTCTTGTCGAAGTTTGGATTAAATTGACAATAGCAAGAGGAAACAACCAACTCGGGGTGTGGCATGAACTAAACTACTTTTTTTCTTTTCTTATTGGTGATGTAATACGACAAGACTATGTGCTGGAAAATTCAATTAAATTTTCTTAATGTTACAATAGCTAACACCCTTGAAAGAGTGTTCTACGAGAAAGTGAATATAAATCGATTTCGGAATCTGAATCGTATATTTCATTGAATCTGCAGACTTCAGATCTCCACTTTTTTTTTCTGCTTGTAGTCTAAAATATCTGTACCAATAAACTGCATGTCTTCACATTGATGAATATTTCTTGACCGAACATGTTTACCATAATACCACAATATACCAGAGGTGACTCTGATGAAAATTATTTTAAGATATGAATTATTTTTGGAAAATAAGATTCTGAGATATGAGAACTCTTTCCGCTTGGTCCACCCACATTCTTCATTATTCTAGGTACAACCACCTATAGGTACCTACTTCTTACAATGGCGAAATCTTTTGTACAGTTGAATAACGCCTTTGATTCCATCAGTTACCTCCCATCTGATCTTTTTTTTTAATTTAAAACATTATCGTTGAACGTCTTCTTCGTTGCAATATAATAATTATTTCTTGTCTATTCTTTCAGATTTAGTTTCGGATAACACATTCATTGGATTCATAACCTTCAATTTAAGAATAATAATTAGTTACCTGTCTAGTCGACTAGAAAAATTAGAGAACCCAAATACAAAATACATAACGGAGATATTGAGTAGGTAGTCCAAATATCATTCGATATCTACCTTTTGGTTGAATTTTTTTAATCGTCATCCATATAGTATAGGTATGATGTGCTAAGTGATACTGCTTCGTTATTCCATACATTATCATTTCTTTTGAATAATCAATATTTAGAAGGCAATGTTACATGTTGCCGATGGAAACTTCATAATATTCCGTACTAATACAAGTTGGATTGAAGAATAAATTGGGGAAGTCCAAGTTTCTCAGGATAAAATTATGACTCAGTGTTACTAACACGTTGAAACCCAAAACAATTTGATTTCTACCTGTAGGAGCTTAATGTTGACTTTCCTTTTTCTTTTTGAATCCTCTTAAAGTTTCAAGTCATTTGTTGGTATATATAGAAAGGTGTATATCTACCTGTACCTTAAATTCTATTTCTGTTCAACACGGCTCAAACACATGGAACAAACCTTGTATATTTTTACATATTCAAGTTCAACAGGTCGAAACAAATGCAATATTCATATCGAATGTAATTTTTTCAACAAAATTGAAATCAAAATTGTTTAGTCCCACTACATAACAGGAAAACATTTTTTTCTGAAAAAATATTTTTTGTGTCACTTATCTATGGATCAATACAGTCACAACTCACATCACATTTTGATCAAAATTTAATTTTTCTACAAACGTCAATAAAGGACAAGGTTCGCGCATTGACAACAAATTGCGAAGTGACAATTTTTTTCAGTTACCTACGTTACCATGATACCTTCCACAAAACAATGCGCGAAGTAAAACAGTGCGCGAAGTACCTACTTCGCGCATTGTTATGTAAAATATATGAGATATATATATTTCAACTTTATGGTCCTCAATCGAGAAAACATCCACGAAATCATTTATTTCTGAATGTTCAACAACTTTGTTTTATCTCTTGGAGCGCACGTAAGAAAATTCCTATTATGTTCGTGGAACATCGTGCGTATCTTTTCAACACTATTTTTCATATCAAGCTGAGCATATTTTTACTTTAGAACCATATTTTTTGACGTTTGTAGAAAAAATTTTGTTTGCAACTCGAGCGCGAAATACTTTGGTCATCTCGACTATTTTTTTTAACTCGGCTACGCCTCGTTAAAAAATCAGATCTCGATCACCAAAGTAGCATTTCGCGCTCTAGATACAAGAATAACTATTTTTTTCAAATAAAACCCCTATTTTCACCTAGATATACCTATATCCCATTCAAAAATCGAAAGTTGGGGTCGTTTCTAGTAAAACCTGAGAAGTGATAGAACAAAAATTGTTTCATCAATTAATGAGCAATTTGGTATGCATACTTGCTACACCCACCAATTCTCAAAACCCTATATCTAGAATAATTCAAAAGTTACAATCCTCTGGCCGTTTTTGTGCCTGACATCTCGTATTTGGATTGACTATTGATTATTGCCGTCATCTGGTATGCTTGTTAACTAAATAATAAAAATCATATTTCCTGTTGAATTTTCAATTTAAAAATGTGTCATTGATGTACATCATGAGTACCTATATAAAGTGTCCAATGACAAAATAAGAAGAGCAAGTAGTTGCATTTTGCATCCAACACAAGGGGACTAAGGGGAGAGAAAAGGCGAAATTTCGAACTTTTTCTCGAAATATCTCGATAAATAGTGGGTTTGTTCAAATTTTTATTATCAAATTCGTGTTTTTCAGACGAAAATACGTAAGTACAAAAAAATTTTTTCCAAAAATTAAACCATTGCAGGATAAATGCAGTTTTACCAAATTATTGTCTTCGACCGTTGATGATTTTGGTAGCTGCTGAAATTTCTGAAAGCTTACTTCACACTTATGTCTATTGTCACTAGGACTATCCGGACAAAAGTGCTGTCAGCTGTCATCACTCTTCCTCTTCACTCTTCAGTGTCATCACAAACATTAATAGTATATATAGTAAAATGTTATATTTGTAAAATTAACGTGTTATAATTTATAATGTGATTCGAATTCCTATAATTAGTGAACCTAGTGAACATGATAAGTGAGATCAAACTACAACAATCAATAATGATATCGCATATCTCATCAAGTACTGGATCATATTATCAGATTCATTGAAATCTCCAAATCATGTCTCTGGTTGCTAATATCCTATTGGATTGGAAACTATTTCTCCTGGGAATTGGACTCTTGGCTTCAGTTTCTATTATCAACACAACGATACCAATACTGCCTGTAGGATGCTTGATGTTCATGCTGTGCTCAGTTTCATTGTGGTTCACTACAATATGTGTTACATTTGTCTTGCTGCACAAGTTATTACAGAAAAATGAACCTATTCAGTTTGGTAAAGTTACCAAACCATCCCTCATACAGCAAAGAGGGGACTTGAAACCAAACCAAGAAAAAGTCAAGCTGTTATCACAAGATATTGAGGAATACTTCATCTCTAAATGGTACATTAACATCAGTGAAGATGATGATTTCCCTCAAGAAAGTAGGCTGTTTTTAGAAGAAGTTATCAGTAGATTTTCGGAAGTGCAATTGGGTGTTAATAATAAAGTCCTTCTACATGGAATGTTGAATATTTATCTCAAACATTTGAAGGAGTTCAGAAGAACATTGATTCGAAAAGAGAAGTATGAAGGCTCTATAGAAGATCTATACAGGTAAGAGAAATACAAAATTCATAGCCATCAGTTCAATATATCTATGTTGTAGGTATTCCCACTTTTGCACTACCAATTTGAAATCTCAAGACTATTTCATACACCAACTCACAACTAATTTACTGAGACATTTCATCAACTCTGATCTGTGGAATTCCTTACCATGTCAGGTTCTTGTTTCTGTTCTGGCACGAAAGTTAACTGCTTACTTATTGAACCTAATATCAAACCCTGAAATTTTGAACTATTTGTTACTTGATTGCCTAGCATCAAAAGCTGTGAAAGAAGAGTATAATTTATCTCAGTACAGTAGAGTATGTATTTTGGAGTATTATGATGTGATTGATGCTAAAGGAACTGTTACACATTTTTCTGAGGAAAACTTACAAGAAAAAGCAGCCATGAGTATTGATGAACCTGATTCAATGACTGTAGAAAAAACTAGTGACAGTATTGTTGATAACAATCCAATACAACAAAACTCAGATACAAAATTTGTAAAAATAATTCCAAGTCTAGGAAAAGAAACTAAAAAGAAAGAAGACAGCAAAGTAAACTTGGCAGTAAATGTATGGTGTTTTTTTCACTGAATTATTTTTTCTAGAATTTTGAAATAGCTAAAGAAATGAAAGGAGAAATTAGTTTTGACAAATCTACTTCAAATTCAACCTCAACTGATCCAGTGAAGATATATGAAGCAAAATTCAGTAGAACTACAAAAACCTACAGTGATTCTAAAGAACTGGCCCTTGGTGTATCCTTAGGGCAAGATCCTCTGGATGCTATGCCTGTGACAATGGAAAATGTCAAGGCAATTGGAAAGAGCATATTTTGGGATTCAGGTGAGAAATTAAAAAAAATAGTTAACTGTGTTCAGTAGAATCTTTTTAGGTAAAATTGAGCAATTTGTTGAAGAAGGACCTACACAGTTACTGAATGAAGTTAAGCATACAACACAGTCCACAATGGAAGGATTGAAGAGTTCTATCAAACCTATAAGTGAGTAATTTTGTTGGTACCATACTACCATATGAAATAAAAATGACCAAATATATTTTTTTAAGGTGATGCAACAGTAAATACCCTTCACAATATCAAAGATCTGCAAGAGACAACAGTGAATAATGCTTTGCACAAAATAGGAGATTTTCAGGTGAGTTTTATGTTGAAAATATGGAAATATTCTCTTTACTAAATGTTTACACCTTTACACTTTCCACAACTTTCCGTTACACAGCAGGAGGTATGATAATCTGCATGCAATTCTTTTCCTACAATATTTTCTGAGTTAAAATTCCAGCTTAGCATTTGAAATTTGATTAGAATTTGAGCTGCTTTTCCAGAGATTATCTTCATTTTATTTCTCAGGAGATATTTATAATGCAGTTTGGAATCCAGTAATTATTCACATTATTGATTTCAATCATCAATCATTCTAAGCTTTGCACACTTTCCTTCCATTATTTCGTAGTGAAATTAGAAGTGTTCTGGTATTAAAAGCTGAATTGAATCAAATAAATATCAGTAGTTCACAGGGTTCACTCAGTCCTCACAAATTAAGTATACAGTGCCTGTTTAATGTCCCTTCCCTTCATCATAATCTTCAAGCCACTATGCTGCAATGAAATTTGGAGGGCTCAAATAGGAGATGAAAATATACTTTTTTATAAAAAAAGGACAGCTCAAAGTTTCAAAATGGCGACTGAGCACCATCATGAATAGTTTTCCCAAATGGAACACTCCCATTTTTGAAATCTTCAAGCTGTGATGTTTCCACAAAATAGTAAGTTTTCATCTAGTTATTGAGCTCTCCAATTCCCTTTGCAATGTACCAGGTAGTACAAAAAATATTCTAAAGGGAGGGAACGGAATTTAGAGGAGCAGTGTATGTATTATTTTCATAATTATATGCATGACACTCAATGTGCTGAAAGAAAGGAGCAGTACTTGTGTTTTTTTTTGTTTTTGAGTGAACTGAAAAAAATGAGGGTTATTGGTGATTCCAGAAAAATATAGATTTATTTCTTTCACCATTAATTAGTCTATTAGGAGATCTATTATAATATTATTTATAAATGAAAACAACCTCACATCACATATTGTGCATATTGTTCAGTGATTCAGTATTTTTTGTTCATTTTATCAAATGACCTATTTCTTCCTATTAATCCTGGGAGTACTGGACAAAGAAAACCCTTTATTCATAGATAAGATGATCTCTGAAATAAGATTTTTTTTGGCAAAACACAATCATCTGATAGGCTAAAACCAATATGAATGAAATGCTCAACACAATTCGAGTAAATTTCTCTTTCCTGATGAAATTTGATATTTTTCTCGATATTTTTTAGGACGAAGCAGCCGGCATGGTGGAAGGCATCCTTGATTTCGGCCGAGCGGGTCTGCGCAAAGGTTTGCGCCTCACCGGGCTGCAGGACAACATCGAGACCGCGAAGGCGTCGCAGCCCAACAAGAGTGCGCAGCCCGACAGGAGTGCGCAGAAGTCGAGGGCCGGCAGACCGACCAGAGCTGAATCGCCGGAGAGAGGCGGCGAGGAGGCGGATTCCGTGTGGATGAACCCGCTGCAGATGGATTCGCCCAATTTCGACGGGCAAATATTGTTGGTGAGTTCTTTGGCAAGTATGTTTTGTTTGTTGAATGGTGTTGTACACACTAGTCGAATTTTTCGCCACATACTTATTTTATATTGATCATTTCGTGTATAAATAGTATTTGATGCAATCATTCTTTATTTAAAATAATCCGCAAATATATTTTTTCATTAATTAAATTTGGCTACTTTGAAAAACGCCAGGTTCCATGACGTCATGATCCGAATTCTGGCTTTTGCATTAAATGTAGGACCATATTTTTCGACGCTGCCGGATTTGTAACTAGTAATTACCTTTTATGAGATTCAATATAACCAATGACAATAGTATTCACATTCACAGAATAGTTCAACCTGGTCCAGTACCAATAAAAATATTCTAGTATTCCTAATAATAATGATGGAAGTACGAGCGAGACGTTGATTCTACATTTTCCTGCTAGTTAATGATGCTACTATTGCTGCTGTGACGAGTGAAAATAAAATGGCAAATGGCATTTCAGGTACGCGGAACATATGTTACAGTGGGATTATTCAACTCTGAATTCGAAAAATCTGTGACAATTTCAAAACTGACAGATGTCATAATTGTGCAAAGTCGCCATCTATTAGAAGATCGACGGAACCATTGCTCTCGCTGTTCTCAAGAGGTCGAGTAAAATTCCTGAAACAAAAGCGCATCAGTAATTACACCATATCTTCCATCATTCTAATAATGATCCAGATTTTATTTACTCCCAAATTATTTTGTGGCAGGGGCAACAGTGTACTTCCTGACGTTAATATCGGATGTCACCTTCATCATCAAATCCTTGTTTCATCTAGTCAAGATGCGAATATTCAAAGATAATCCTGCTCATACTATCTGAATCTATAGTTGTGTGTTGTGTTCTCTGTTATCTGCAGTGAGTATTCAATTCAGTAAATTCATTCCATATTCTGATTGAAATGACAATCAGACATGTTCTTGCACTTGTCAATCAGAAATAGAGAGTTGATAGGTAAATCATCACCCAAAGTCTGAATTGATTGAAAAAGTCGGACTTTTTTCACTTTTTTATAATAGTCATGATACTTATTCCAACCCTGGTTCGAAGTTTGAATAAAACACTCCAGTCTAGCTATAGCCTATTATGATTCATTATCATGCATTTTAAGAAAATAGTCCTTATTCATCCATCACCTACAATTGTTGTTATTATATGTTTGTGAAATGACTGAGTTTTTCCTCATTGTCATTTTCAAAATTTGGAAATGAAAATCGAAAACTACAAAATATATCAGTTTTTTATATCACAAAATACTTTATAATATGATTATTCCTACAAAAAATAATACATTTCCAACAATACATATCAAATAACAAAATAATTGAATAGTATATAAAAATAAAATCTACCTATAATAATAATAATTCAGTGTTTGCATTCTACTAAAAGTATATTAAAAAAGCAACAACTCCCCAAATTATCTCTGATTTTATTCTTCATAAATGAAACTTTTTGATAAAATTACAATGTCATCCCTACCCTTGGATTTCAAATATTTCTCTAGCAACTTTTTTCTTTTACTGTCACCATCAAACACAATCAAATTTACGTTTTCCAATATTCGTTCACAAACTGTCCCACCATAATACTGAAATTCAAGTTCATCTATGTAACTATGGTAAGCAATCCCAGAATCCAAGTCATCAGGTATCACAAATTTATCAAAATATGCAGTGTATTTATTGAAATATTTTCTTCCCTCTAGCCGTACCAACTGACCCAAATTGGAATAGTCACCAGAGTCAGAAACCAGCTCAAAAGTAACTTTGAGCTTCTCGATCGTAGTTTCCTCTAGAAAACTATCCCCGTATTTATCCAGCTCATTAGATAAGGAATTCTTGTAGTTCCATCCCAAGTAAAACACCTCCGATTGATCGTAACCCAAAAGGTTCCCGTCTTGCAAAACTCTTTCCAGCCAAGACAAGCTCACAATATCGTATCTGGGTCTTTTTTGAGCAAGTTGCCTCACCTTTTCTGAGCGCTCAGAAGCCAGGATAATATCGACTTGTTCTTTGGGTCGGTACATGACTTTGCCCCCAGCTTGCTTGATGAGACTTTCCGCTTTTTCTTTGTCGCATTTCTGAGTCCCGCTCAGAACGTAGACGTTGTATCCTTCGAGTATGTCTGAGACTTGTTTGGTGTCGTAGAAAGTCGGCATTTGCGGGGCTTGTTTTGTAGTTTTCCTCTTTTTGACTGTCAGGATTTCCTCTAAGTCGATGCCGCGTTTGTTGAGTTTGATCACAAATTTGTTGCTCTTTGTCAACTCTAACAGTTCATTGATGTTTAGACACTCGTCCACTGGTTTGTCTTCGCGTATTTGGAGTACTCTGGGGAACCTCAGGGTGAAAGGAGTTTTGAAGGAGTTGTCTGTGTGACGGATCAATTCTGAGGCTCGCACTTGGAAAACTAGCGAGTGTTGCGGTTCGATGTACCAGTTGGGCGTGTCTTTGCCAAAGTTGAGGTTGACGGAGTCGAAATTTTCGAAGTTTTTGCCTTGGGTTTTGATTTTATTGTTCAGCATTGCGAGTTGTTCGTCGTTGAGGCCACTGCTGACTTTTCCAAATGACAGGTAGAGGGGTTTTCCGTTGCTAGCGATTCCTGATCTTATTCCTACTGTGAAAGAGTTGAGTTTTACGGAGGTGGATGATTCATATTTGGCTCCCATTACTATAAGATCAAGGTCGTTCATGACATCCTGAAATAATTCTTTATTGATAAATTAAACCTGCCTTTCCTATTCTGTGTATGAAAAACTACCGAGTTTCTCATGGTATTTTAAAACTAATAATTGAGTCACTACATATTGAACAATATTTGAAAATCTCAATTTTGTGGATTATTTTTTATTCAGTCAGTTTACCTACCTGAAAATACTCCAATTTCATTTTGTACCATCCACTATTCCTGTCACTATATTTATAGATCGAATCTGGATCTTTTACAATAATTCCTTCTTCTTCCTTCTTTAAAGACAAATTCAGTTCATCAATAATCTCTTGCCTAGAATTCACCTGGGCCCCAAAAGTGATCAGAAAAAATATATACTAAGCTCAGATGCAAAATTCTAATAAAAAAAATTGAGTCAGTATTCTTATCTCACCTCCTTCACTACACTCAAAACCAAAGTGCCTGGTTTTTCAGTTCTAAAAACTGTCTTCAACATTTCCACACGTTCTCTCAAAGGGGTATTGGTGTGAACTTTGTCATTCAAGAAAATTATATCATATATACAGAAACAGGGCTGGTAGGGATCTTTTTCAGACAGCTTTTTCACATCATAGGTCATGCCCTTTGATCCGAATTTTTTGGAATGTTTGTGCCATAGCATCAGTTCACCATCAAGTATAACACTTTTCACAGTTTTGTTGAAAAGGGCCTTCAGTTTGGGAGTGAAAATACCTGAAAACCAATAATGAACAACAATATTTTTAAAACAGGGATACAGTGTACCTGTATCATAAGTTTTTCCCATTTGGTCTGTATAATCAAAACCATTCCTTGAAAGGTACCTGAACACATTATTTTTCATGTGCAACTGGAACCTTTCACCATCAAATTTATTCTCAATAAAAAAAGTTTTGTTCTCTGGTAACTCTTTCTTGAAATTACTAACATCAATTTTCTTAGACAGCATTGGTCTGAATGCATCAAAAATTTCTATTTCTAACTCATGCAGTCTGACATTTTCATCTGCTAGTACTTCACACACTTTTCGAAGGTTATTATTCGAAGAGTAGAAAGAGCCTCCATCTCTGTGGTAACAGTTCAAGATGGAGTTTGTGCTGATGCCTAACTTCAAGTCTTTCAGTATGATCCGTATTATCCATCTTGTGTGTTCTGGTGAAGCTTTCTTGAACATTTTCATCATGATTTCTTCAGCTTCCGACTCACCTTTTCTTTTAGTCAAATCATCCAACGATTTATTCACTTCTTGAACAGTCAATGTAGTCTTATGATTGGACAAATACTTTCTGATGACTGAGTAAACCACATCTCCAAAATCCGTGGCTTGTCCTGCCATCAGATATGATTTGCTTAGGACGTTTTTGTCGTTTCCTGCAGGTAAATCGAGCATTTTGATGAGCGTTCTTGCCACTTTTGCTTCTTTCATGTGATAGGAGTCACGTTCTCTGTCCAATTTCGGCAGGAAGAGGCGGAAAATTTGGAAGAAATCTGTTGGATTGTTTTGGAGATCATGTCGAATTTGCTGGAATTTGTCCCGCAAGTACTTGAATTTGTCATTTTGGCCTTTGATTTGTTTAAGTTCATCGAATATTGAACATAATTCCTTGAAATTCATCATGAAATTAGTCCCACATTAATTAAGGTTATATTTAGCGATGACAGTTCTTCTTTTTTTTTTCGTGTGAAGTTGTCGGGGCTGTCCGAATAAATTTCTTCTTCTTGGTGATAAGGCGACGAATCATCTACATCCTGGCTATCAAACCTAAGAAGATGAAGATTATGAAGGAGCTAATTTACAATTTCAATTTTATTTTGGAATACTGAAAATCCTGGGAAGATGCGATGTGTTTATGTTTATCAGATTCATATCCCTAGAAAAAAAAAACGAAAAATATTTTTATAGGAAAGGCCAAGAAAGCCTGAAGATAGGAAGGATATTCAGATACCTTCTATTTCTACTGAACAACCACCATCTAGTACTGAGAGTCCGGATCCTGAATATGAAGACACAGCAGATTTAGCATCTAGCATCGCAAAATTGAGGTCCCTTTTGCAACAAAGATCTTCTGAATCAAGTTTATCTACGCCAGCTCTAAGTCCAATGTAAGTATTTTTTATTTAAAAAACAAATTAGTTGATAGATTACTATTTGAAGGGTGTATTTGCCATCTTTTTCAGATTTTTGCAAGCAAGATACAATGGAACCAAAAAGTTTTGGGTGGCAGACAGAATATCTTTTTTTGCTACTAGGTATATTGGCTTGATGCAAAAATAAACTAACAAGATTAACAAACCAATTGAATTTAATTACTCACTGTATATCTGTATCTGCTGCTACTAATCACACCTTTTCTCTTGACAAAAAATAATCTTAATTCAACAAATATGTTTTTTGCGGCTATTAAACCAATACATAACGAGGTGAGTTCATGTTTATGCAAATTTGCAAAATGGTGATATGTATACAGGGTGTCCCTAGACCAGTGGGACAGTTAAATTTCGTCTGCACCAATAGGAATTTTCGAAATATTATAATTCCACATCATATGGCATCATGAGTGCTATCTTCAGGAATGACTATATTTTATACGAGGGGCGCAAGAAAGGCTCACAAAATCGAACATCAATTTTTTCAAATGGAACACCCTATATTTCTTTGCATTTTCATATTCTCCTTGAAGAGCTGAATTCAACGACCTAGCACACTTGGGGTCTAGCGGGAATGATTTCCGAGATATAAGGGTGTGGAAAATCGAGATTTTTCATTTTTGGGAATTTTTTGTGTCAAAACTATTCATTATTGGTCAAAATGGCTTACATGTCCATATCTTAACTTTTGATTTACTATTCACTCGTATTTAAATTAAATGAATACAGGGTGGTGTAGAATTCTCAGTTTCAGTCGGAATTCCACACCACCCTGTATTTGTTTCAATTAAATACGAGTTAATAGTAAATCGAAAGTTAACATATGGACATGTAAGCCGTTTTGACCAATAATGAATAGTTTTGACACAAAAAATTCCCAAAAATGAAAAATCTCGATTTTCCACACCCTATATCTCGGAAATCATTCCCGCTAGAGCCCAAGTGTGCTAGGTCGTTGAATTCAGCTCTTCAAGGAGATTATGAAAATGCATTAAACTACAGGGTGTTCCATTTGAAAAAATTGATGATCGATCATGTGAGCCTTTCTTGTGCCCCTCGTAGAAAATATAGTAATTCCTGAAGTTAGCACTCATAATGCGATATGATGTGGAATTATAATATTTCGAAAATTCCTATTGGTTCAGGAGATATTCAACTGTCCCACTGGTCTAGGGACACCCTGTATAAACACTACCAAACAAAATGAATTATTATTTGCCAAATATGTACGAACAGAAATCACCAACATGGACCTGAATTTCTGCGAATTCTCAATCATGAATTCATATTTCTAACAAAATGAAATAATTATTCTAAGGTGATAAAAACTTCCGGCTCCTAGTGTATTTATTTCCCTTTAGGCCCCCCGATGACTTTATGCAAAAATCCTCGGAAGCGGAAGTCGAGAACATTTCCGACTTGGATGAAGTGGACGGTGTGATGCCCAGTTTTTACAAATTCTGCGCCAAAACGGCAACCGGCGTTTTGGACAAAACTATTCACACGATCAAAACGGCTCTGCCTAGCAACATTCAAGGGGTGGAACAATCGGACAATGCTTGGATCTTCATACAAACTGATCAAAATGTAAGACACAACAATTTCGAATAGCATCTCCAGATATACAGGTTGGCCGTGAAAAGATCATTTGGTCAAATAAAAATAATACAACAACCTGTGTATTTTGGCATTTCCATGTTCCTCCCAACGAAGCGATTCCGGCAAACCAACACACTTGTGTTCTAAAACGAATAATTCATGAACAACAAGTTCTTCAAATATCCTTTGTCCCAGGACAATGGGCGTGTACACCTTAGTAGAACTTTCAACTCAAACTATGTTTATATTGATCATTTTATACATAAATACATAACTGGAATGTTTTATTTTTGGACATAAATAATAGTACCTTCTGAAAACGGACCCTCTTATGACGTAGAAACCTCATCTCGCCATAGTTAAAAGAAAATACCAAACGCCCGACGGACACTGAGGCAACTGATATATTTAATTCTTTCAACTGTGATCTCGCGCTAATTCCTTCTGTCAGAAATCATGTATCATTCATCTCTGTCTGGCATAGTCTTGTTTCAGTATTAGGGTTTTGACGTCACATCATCGCCTCGTTTTCAGAGAAATCGGGGATATCAATAATTTTTTATAAAACGTAGGGAGCTCACAGCAAGAAACGGTTTGCGGTGGTGAGCTAGTTTGGGTGAGTTCTATGGAATTATGAAGTAAATGTTTTTTGTGATATAAGCCCATTACCACAAACATCTGAAATGAACAATTTTCTGTATATTTGGGCAGTCCTATAATTTTTGTGATGATTAAAACAATAATCATTCATATTTCTATTTTATTAAAACAATTACTCAAAATCCTTTGGGATAATAGTTATCTATACACCGAGGTAGTAAAGAATATCAGAATCACCATTTTTTTTTCACGACTACCAATACATTTCAATCATTTTAGTTCTGTGAAACTGAAATATGGCCCTGTTGTCACTATGAATGCACTTCTCTTCAATTCTATCAGAATAGTGAATTCAGGTTAATTTCAACAGAGGTGGCTTTTTCTTTATTGACTAGTGCTTAGACTAGTGGTTCATAAAATGACGAAAACTACCTTGGTAGTAAAAACACACTTTATGCATCGAAAAGGGGCGAATAATGGTAGAAAAATTCTATAACTATCTTCCATTTGAGATAAAAGCAATTCAAAATACCATTAGATTCCTTGGCTTGGTACGGAATTACTTACTGATGATGGAGCCGTACTCAGCAAGTGTTATATTGTTTTTTCTTTAAACTGTTTGTATGTTACTTACTTCTCACACGCGTAAAACTATAACATCTCTGTAGAAATGAATGAATTATCATATATTTATCTATCTTACGGACACCATGTACTGTTCATAGGAGGCTGACATACTGACTAGAATGAAGAAACTGCTGACCGAACGAAAGGAATATTGTACCCTGGACATGGAGATAGATACAGCATATGAGGCTATCGATTCCTCAGACACATTTCCACATCATGTTTTCCCACCAAATGTGGAATATGAAGGTAATGAAAAAAATGTATTCTTTCATTCATCCCTGATTGTATACTGAGTTTTCATTTTCTCCATAGGCTCAGAATCTATTTCAGAAAATGTATTCAATGAATCTGGCTCCTTCACTATTTTGTCCTCATTGGTGAAATGCCATGTACCCACAGAGCGAAAATGCTATTTTGCTAGCTTATATATGTTTTTGTCAACTTTGAAATTCTGTATTAACTGCAATGACTCAAGAAGTGAGAAAGTTAAGGTTAAGAATTGTTTGGTTTTCAATTTTTCAGGTATTTTCTATCATGTTCCAGGCAATCCAGCTTAGATTAGAATCATTATGGCGCCTGTTGGCACACAACAAATAAAATCAATTTAATTATGCATCCTTGGCCATCAATTTTTTGTCTTTCCTTAGATTTTATTACAGTTGTACTTCTGATAGGAACATAAATTCAGGGAAAACATCACTCTATTAGGTAACCATAAACATTTCCTATTGTGTGCCAATATATGCATAGTTTGACAAGTTCTTGTATTGCCTAATTGCTTCCATCTCAAACTATATCTTGTGAGAAAATGATGGTGAATGATTAGTTCCTTCACATTTGATGATAGCTGATCATATTTTTCCTATTCCTTTCCTTCTAGGAATGAAGCAATAGAGAAAATATGATTGAAGCATTTCATAAAACGGCAGTGGCGGCTCGTGACTTTCATGACAGAGGAGGCTGAATGATATGAGATTTATTGTGAAAAACAACTCTCTACTCACCCAAATCAATAGCTTTAATGACATTCTGTTTACCTGTTAACCTGAACAAATTTTTCAAATCATTATATCCTAATCGCCCCCAACATGATGACTTATCGGTTGAAAATAATACGCAGTACCAACAAAATAGCTTAATCCTTACCTCAGATCCCGTCAACCAGATATATTTTTTATAATTATCAGAATTGAACGAACTATTTTGTTTGTTACCTGTTACAATCAGATTTTTTAATTCCGGTGTCGGACGTTTGTTTTTCACAATCAATTTATCTTCATAAGACAAAGCACTGAATGGGTTCACCAAAAAGTATTGCACTAAATCGCAATCGTTTAAAACACTAATTTTTCAGAAATTTATAGAGCCCCTAACCATTAACCTAACATAAACATAACCAATGCACTCGCGTTTGTCCGCAATTCACAAAGCAACACGACAAACACGTGCTATTCGGGCGTATTCGGGCATTTGCATTGCGCGCGTAAGTTGCGCAATGTGAAGGAGTCTAGCCTCCTATAGATGTTGCCAAGTTAAATATTTTACGCGTGATTTGCAGACTTCAACGTGTGATGCGTGGGCAAGCACTGTTGCCAATTCAAAAATATCAACTAAAAACAGGAAATAAAATCAAAATCCATGTATTTTGGTGTCCTTTTAATGAGAAAGTATAGATAATATTAGTTTAAGGAAAATCTCTGAGGAGGCTCAGCCTCCGTTGCCTCCTCTGAGTAGCCGCCACTGTAAAATGGAACCCACCAATGAACTGTTGTTGCCTGAATTTCACATCTCCTTATATAGTCATGAATTACTGTATTTGTAGATGAATTGGATGAATTTGAAGCTAAACTGCCGGTGACCAAAGCCCTGTTAGACATTGTTTGTGAACTTTTGGCTGAGGCAGACTCTCCTTTTGTTCGAGAACCTCTAGTAAAGGCCATTCTACTGACATTTGGCAACACCATGGAGCATTTCATTCTTTCTCAAGTGGACGCGGCCATGGACAAGCTGTGCGTCGATTTGATCGTCATTCCCAAAGTGACGAATCAGAATACTTTGTCCCTGGAGAAGAATAGCTTTGTTGAAGCTATTTTCAGTGGTTTACCAGGTGAGTGGTTGGTTGAAATTGAGTGCGATTTTTCTTAATTCGACGTTTTGGTACTTGTTTTATTCTATTTTAGCGTAGAACATGAAATAGCTTGAAAAAGAAATCCAATAAATCCATCCTAAAAACAAAAGATAAAGTGAGGTTAGATGTTAGATTTTTCTTCTATCTGGCTATCCGGCTAATCGTTTTTTTTTTGTAAAGTACATTTTTGCTATAAAGGCTAGCCGGCCAATATTAACTACTTGTTCACATGACATAGTGATTATTTGAAAATGAGTTTTTTGAAACAGAAAGCGAGAATGACACCAGAGCCTTTTGGAATGACAATAATTACTGAATTAAAATTCTAAAATAATATGTTTCTCGTTTTCAGATGCTGTAAAACTCACGTTTGGAAAGTCTACTCTTACTAAGGCTTTCCAGCTATTAGTTTCTTCTTTGCAAAGCCAGAAAATCAATCAGGATGTGGTTTTGCAGATCTTTGAGCTGTTTTGTATGAAGCTCATTGAGGAAAGTAGCCAATTATCTCCTCCAGCTTCAGCTTGATTTGATTCTTCTTATTATGTTTTAATTGAACAACTTACTGACACAAATTTCAAAGTATTACTTCCGTTGCATTCCAATAGTATTTAATAATTACAGTAATAATCTATGAATTTTTGTCCATGTCATAAAACAAACCAAAGTTATTATTATTTTAGAGATTCAAATATTTTTTGTAACTAAGCTTTTATTTTAAGATTGAAGCTTTCTTAAGATATTGTTGTGATATTAACTTTAAGTATAAACTGTGTTGTAGATATTGTTTTTAAAATTTAGATTTTATCTTTGTTAGGCTCTTGACTTATATTATTGGTATATATGTTTAGATTAAACCAACTGAATAGTCTATGAAAGTATTTCTCTGTTGAATAAGCTATAAAGTTACTGTCAAATAATATGCATAAAAGAGAGGACCAAAAATCGAAATATTTCTGAATCATGGGCTAGAGGGCTGTGCTTCAACTATGCACTAGGGCATCCCTGAAGGGTCCCGAATATTGAATTTGAAGTCTCTACGACAAAGTTGATTTTTGGGTCTGAAAAGGAAACAAGGTTAACCCCTTTGAACTCTCTTCATACATTTCAAGTCCTCAGAATGAGCTGAGAACTCGTATACAAGATGTTTTCGATGTGCTGAACCGTTACCACCGATACAACAAGGCCAGCAGACTCTGACGTAAACAGCTCGTGACGTCACCAAGAGAGGCCAGTGTTTTATTTTATGGCTTGTCGACTAACGCGTCAGTTCGTGTTAATTCATCAGTGATTCATGTATGTTTTTGAAACGGTCCCGAATTCTTTTGTTGTTTATTCATCAAAATAATTGGCGGAAAAATTACTGTTTTGTGAAATATTTTGTGTTGTGATCGGCGAAATAACAATGCCTTTCAAGTGTTGTGTCCCTTTTGTCGGGGGAATTATGTGGGTGGTTCAAAAGTTCATGCTTTTAGTTTCCCGTTGGACGAGGAGCTATCGAAAATGTGGGTATATGCAATTCACCGCGAGGATTTTACTCCAACTAAGTTCAGTAGTAAACAGAGCTTAATTTATAATGATGAATTAATAATAGAAGACAATTACTCTCTCATAAAAAGTATAAGTAGAGGAAAAATAGAGAAGCTTTGATTGTGCAGTTAGTTTAGTATTCGTATATTATAGTCAACAAAATCATCTCTGAAATCAAGGAAATTTTCTTAAATGTTTATAATAAACGGGCATTTTTAATCCTCATTCTCAAATTTCTTTCTGAAACGGGTCATTTGCCTCGTGGCAATGAATGCAGAATATATTCCAATGATCAAATTGCAACTATCATATTAACATGAACTACAAACACTCTTAAAAAGGTAAAACTGCATTTATCATGATATTTATCATGAAGATATTTGACTAAAAAGTTCCAAATTTCACCATTTTCACCTGTCTTCTGGATGGCATTTAGAACAAATTTCCCTTATTTTTTCATCATATTGGACAATTTATATATAATTCAACTATAAATATGATTTTCTTGAGATTAATCCATATTTAGTGAAAAGAAGGAAGAATATCATTCAAAATAATGGCGTGTGTAATGTCTTTCGAAAGCAATCTATTGACATTTGACATCTCGTATTTTGATTGACTATTGATAAAATGGTCGTCATCTGGAATGCTTGTTCACTAAATATGAAAAACAATTTTTTCAGGTAATAGGAATTCTCCAAGATAAATATAGGTTATTGTAACAAACGGCATGTCAATCAAAATAAAATACATTTTCCACAATTTTCTTTCGATCAATCTCACGATAAGTTTATGTTCTGCGGGCCCTGTATAAGTAGGTGTGAAGTTTACCTTCACCACAATTTTTGCCAATATATTTAATTCGAATGGGTTGCTGTAGGTGGATATTTGTGTTTTATCCTGGTTTTTGCTTTAAAACTTCGTTTTTCCATAATAAAATCGAATGGGGTGCGAAGAAGGGCTCAGTTGACGACTGGCATCCTTTTTTAACCGGAAGCCCTTCAAAAAACAGCAAAATCGACTCAATGATGATCTAAAACTAAAACCGAAATACGCGGTCGCCTTATAGCGCTATAAGCGCTTGTCGTTTCGAGCCGCTGGTTAGGCCTCACTAAGTGACGTCACCCACGGAGCATGCAGGCCTTGTTGTATCGGTGGTAACGGCTGAACCCGAAAATGAAGGCGATTTTCCCGTATCTTTATTAGTTTTCCAGATATAAGCATTTTTTTCAAAACGAAAAATGTTCAAATTCACAAAAATCGTCTCAACATACTCGACTTCGTTTGCAAAACACTTCCATCAAGTCGATTTTGCATTCATTTCAGAGATGTAGAGTGGATAAAAATTCAGCCAGAAATAAGGGGGCAAAAGTCCCCATTAGGACATTCCTAAAGGGATTTAAATACCGAATTCAAAGGCCCTACGACAAAGTTGATTATTGGGTATGAAAAACAAACAAGAGATTAACCCCTTTGAACTTTCTTCACATATTTCGAGGCCTCAGAATGAGCTGAAAACTCGACGAAAATGAAGTCGATTTTCCCGTATCCTCATCAGTTTTCCAGATATAGGTAAGCATTTTTTCAAAAACTTCAATCAACTCGATTTTGCATTCATTTCAGAGATGTACGTAGAATAGTGGAGACAGTGGATAAAGAATTCAGTCAGAAATGGATCAAAAATCTCCTTTTTTTCTAAATGATGAGCTAGAGGGCTGCTGTGCTTCTACTCCGCACTAGGACATCCCGCCTATAAAGGGTCCTAGATACCGAATTTAAAGGCACTTCGACAAAGTTGATTTTTGGGTCTGAATAAGAAACAAGGTAATTTTTTTGAACTTTTTCGGATTTTTGACAGGCCTCAGAATGAGCATTTTTAGGAAAACGAAATTGTCATCCAGAAGTTTCCATTCTCGGAAATAATTAAAAAACTTGATGGGCCTTTCAAATACTTTATTCCATAACAACACATGTATAGTAACATATATATTTGGTGTGAACAAATAATTGAATAATGAGAATTCGAATATAATATCATCCATATTTACACAGTACACAACAATTTTTATTGGGTAAACAGCACAGTAGAAAACACCTTTATTCTTGGGATGTTATAACGAAAATCAAAAAACAACTGGAAATCTATAACAGAAACAGGGTCTTAGTATTTTGAACACCATGTGATTTTTTTTTCATATTGCAATTACATCATGTTGCACATTTTTGCTGAGGTGCTGGAATAATGGTAACAGATTGTCGAATATCCTCAGAAGTTTGACAGTCTGTCGGCACACACCTAGCCGGCTTACAAATAATACTAGATTTCACTACCTATATAAACACTAGGTATACATAATCACAGAGTATTCTAAAAAATAATTATACTAAATGCTTGAATCCTTCATCGTCTCGAGCAAGTTTAGTAAAATAGTCTTCTACGGAAGATAAAATTCTATAACTTTTGTACAAGAAACTCAACAGAACTAACAAGGAAACTAATTTGACTAAAAAACATCATGAAGAAACAGAAACATACTTTATACATCAACACAAAACAAAACGAGATATATACAGTAAGTGTTTGTTTCATTAATATCATATACAGCAAGTCATCTCAGTAACCTAAAGACTTTTTTTTTTTCTATACACTTGTCTCGCATCCTCCCTATATACAAAAATCACAATTTAAAATTACGTACATTTTACATACGGCTTCAGAGTGGAAAAACAGCTCCAGTAGCTATATCAGACGAAAAACTGAATTGTCTTTTCACCTTTCAATTTCAATATCAACTGTATATTTTTCATTTACCCCTGCATACAAACCGAGCAGAAATAAAAATTAACAGATTTTTGCAACCAAATGTGTTGAGAAGGACTATTTTTGTTGAACACAATTCAAATTAAATGTAACTTTGACACAAAAATCGCTTATAAGATGCTGTATACAGGGACATTATAGTTGATGACTTCAAATTCCTCATCACATTTTATGAGAAGAGCTCATGAAAACATGTGTTGACATATCATGTTTTCATTATTATTTGTACTTCAGAATATGTGAACAAAAGTGAAAAAAAATCGCATATACAGGATGACAATAAAATAAATACATGTATAATTTAAAGCCTGAGAGGGCTCTAGATATATTATATTGAATGACACCATATTGTGGCAATTCAATAACATATAGCATACAAATTCTCATCACGCTGATTTCAATCATTACATCTGTTTTGAAATTGCGTAATAGATTTTTCTACTACTGCTATGAAAAGTAGCGCATTTCTCATACCTTACTTAGTTTTAAAACCATATGTACCTATTGCTCATACTGTGAGAACAATTTTTTCTCACGGCACTTTGCCAACACCACATATATTTCCATGGAGAATCAACAAAAATCGACCAAAACTCAATTGGCTGGTGCTCAGCTTTGAATAGTTGTCACAACTGTCAGAAGAAGTTCATAGGTGTAGGTATAGAAGTGAGAAATAAGGCTATTTTAACTAGAATAACTATTAAATTTTCAAATAATGAACAACAGGGTGTTCAAATTTCGAATCGATGATTTTCATAATCAAATGGCTATTGCAAATTTTCGTCATCAGATATTTCTACACTTTATTAGATATAAGGAAGATAATTTAAGTGTTCTACGTGGTATCACATATAGCCAAGAAAATATAGTTGTTTTCTGTTGGGATATAAAAAAATGAAAGATATATAATTGTTTCAATATAATTTTCTCCGATTCTCTCAATTCAATAACACTCATCAGAAATAAAAGTGACAAAATCAAAACAACAATATATTTGATAGCGAGTGCTTCATTAATTGTGTCGGTTTCCCACCTCTTCCTGCAGTCTACATTCACCTGTAAATTTTGAATTTGATCTGAATAAAGAACACCGTGGACTGATGACATAGCACATTGCAGTTTCTCTAAATCTCCTAGTTTTGATTTCAGACTTTCAATTTCTTTCCGCATCATCTCATTCTCATTTTCTTTCTCTGCGATCGTATCATTCAGTAATTCCCAATACGATGACGACGGAACTCTTTTTTTGAACGTCTCCATTTTATAAATTGGCGACACAGCAGACTCTTTCAATTTGAAATCCATCAGCTTGGAAAAATCTCTATCAAAATGGGCCTGAAATTCATCGTTTTTGTTCTGTTTTCACAAGTGAATTTGACTATTTACCTCACATATTGCGGATTTCTTGAAATTAATTTTCCATTCTGGACGTTTCATTGCATTCTTCCATGATCATTCGGATAATTGAATAACTTGAACTCCTTTTTCATATGAATTATCGCAATAATGTAGGCAGCTGGA